TATTCTCAGTCAACTAAATTACTTTCCTCCACTCTGTCTTACCACCCTTAATACATACATAAAAGGCCCTAAGATGACTTCTGATGACCTGGGACTCCTTTGGGAAAAAAATTTAAAACACCATATACACACACACAACAAATTCCATTTTGAGAGAAATCTCTGTTTTCCTTGTGGAACCCAAAGAATTAGAGACAGGTAAATGCCTCTCAAAATCTATTTTTTCTTTCAACTACACCTATTTATTAGGCCCTAGAAAATGCATATTTTCCTAGCCCTTTTCTTAAAAATCTCCATCCTGAGACCAATAATCCAATTAGAAGATTGACAAACGGAAAATCTTACAACTACTAGATCTTCTTCTGTCTATATAGTCATATATATGTTAGGTATGTGATGTCTATAAAAAAAAACTCTAATTAATTAATTGACCTAAAAAAAGATTTTTGAAGGCAAATTAAAAGTTATAATGCTTCTTAGTTCACATGACTTTAATCTTTACAAAATTAAAAGTCTTAAAAAGTATTGATAAAATACAAATGTCTTCAAGATATAAATATGTGGTATACATTATACAAGTCATATACTAAATTTACTAAATATTTTAAGATGGCAAACTACTTGTTTGACCTTTAAAAACTGTTTGACTTTCCTACTTCACAATTAATAAGACCTGAGGACATATAGTAATAACCACACCTCTAACTATACAAGAAAAAGTCAGATTTTATGCCTAATACATCACTAAAACAACTTACCAGGTTTTACATTAAAGTTAAAAATTACTAAGAATTATGACATATAATTGAGACTATATAAATAAATTTACATACAAAGTATGTAAAAACAGTAAAAAGTGTTTTCAATAAAAAATTATAAAAAGACATAAAAATATAAATTTGGCCTAGGAATACACGGCTGTCTTAAAGAAAATAAAACTGAAAGATTAAACAGGTTCTGAAAAATTATAAAAATTTTACAAAACCACTCTCTAAACGTATTAACTAAAACAAGTTGTGAAAAATTATAAAAATTTTACAAAACCACTCTATGTAAACCTATTAACTAAATTCAAAAATATTACTTTTTTTCATAAATTGAACATTGAAATAAAAACACAACAAGGTTTTCTTAATAAGCTAATCTACTCTTTAATGAAATGTATAAAGAATTATTAAAGGTTTATAAAGACCTCACCTCATGGTCAAATCGGTTATGATTAAATAGAATTATCTATAAAGTTTCATTAAAATTGGGATTGACATTAATAATAAACTAATAAAAGGGTGAAATTCGACTTTCTTTTGAACAAGATTTTCATGTCATAATAAAGACTAATAAAAAGTTTTTACTTTTTTAAATTTTTGAATCATCATTTTAACAAAGCAAATGACTTATGGTAATCTGAAATTTTATTTCATAATATCAAGTAGTTTTTAAACTCTAACATATTCAACAGGCTTCCGAAAATCAAGCTTGAGTTTCAAGATTGTCTTCCCTGACCCCTAATGTTTAATTACAGAAGGCCCCTAAAACAATTCCAAAAAAGTAAACAGGATCACTTGATATATTTAAATATGTGAGATTGCCAAAATGATATTTAATCTTCCTCAAGTTATATTTCAGTAAATATTAATATATGTTCCAAAATCATATAAAATGTCTAAATATACACTGTCAACCATAATTAAGGTTATTATGTTAAACTATTGTAAACCACAGAAATAACCAAATTACTTTGTCAATCATATTCTTAACTACAACTACCCTGGAAATTTTGTCATTCACGTGCAATTGTTATCTTGTTTTAATCCTCTTCAAAAGATGATTTATAATCAACTATAAGACTTTAACAAATACTCTCAAATACAACTTTCTAATAACAAAAAACATATAAGACTCACAAAAAACTAGTGTTTATAAATATCAAACAGAACAAGAGTTAACCAAATAGACTAATAGAAAACTGAAGTAATCCTTTTTTTTACTTAAAAAATTACTGATCATCATTTTGTTTTTTTCAGAGTCAAAAAAACTTTTGAACTAACTACAACTTTTAACAGTTGAGTAACATATACTTCTGTGACAAAATTTAAAACATATTTATTTATCTCTAGCTGGTTCCTCTAAAATTCAGAAACTAATTATAAATATTCTAGACTTAATACAATTGTTTACATCAGTACAATAAAAATCCATTTTCTTTTACAACAAGACACAATTTTTTAAAATGATTATTTTACCAAGACTTTGACTAGAAGGATATATTTCCCTTTGAAGAATCAAACTTAACTTCCAAAACCAATAAAAACCTCTTAGAAAAACTGGCCTCATGCCTTGTCTATGCAGTTCCCAGAGTTCCTAACCTATAGTAAGTAAAGAATGTCACTTTCTAACAGGCCCAAGAACCCCATGTCCTTGAGACCTCAAAAAGAGAAGAATTTACCCAACTCATAAATATTTGAGAGTATAAACCCATGACTAGACTCAACTTTAAACTGAGGTCTTATCTGAGGTTACTTATGGAATACAATTCCATCAAAACCAATTTTAAAACACTATATAAAAATAATTATTCTAAGGCCAGGCATGGTGGCTTATGCCTGTAATCTTAGCACTTTGGGAGGCCGAGGCGGGCGGATTTCCTGAGCTCAGGAGTTCGAGACCAGCCTGGGAAACATGGTGAAACCCTGTCCCTACTAAAATACAAAAAATTAGTCGGATGTGGCAGCATGCACCTGTAGTCCCAGCTACTTGGGAGACTGAGGCAGTAGAATTTCTTGAACCCGGGAGGTGGAGGTTGTAGTGAGTCAAGATCATGCCACTGCACTACAGCCTGGGCAACAGAGCGAGACTCTGTCTCAGAAAAAAATTTTTTTACTACTCTTTACACAAATAATCACCAAATATGAAACTAAAATTTATTTTACAAACAACTCAGTCCTATCCTATCATGATTTGTTTTTGACAAAAATAAGAACTGGAGAGAGAGAAATAGTGTGTCAAAACTTACCAGTTGTCATTAAATTCTAGTCTCACTAATTACTTTTAAATGTTTACCTACATTTTAGACTAACCCCACTTATTCTTATGAACCAACAATCTCTGACTACCACAAAAAATAAAAACAGAAAAAGATAAATAATATAAAATTTAGAACAATATTCTAGTTCTGAACAATTATCCTACAAATCCTACCAGGTCTTAAGAATATATAGAATACCCATAATCCAGCAGTTTATTTGAGAAAAGAAGACCAAAAAAATTAACCAAAACCAAGCTTCATACACCAAAATCGTAACAGACATAACTATAACCACCAATTATCAGGATATGTCAACAACCTCAGAATTTTTAAACCATCCTTATCCCCCCTTGTTTCATTTTAATACATGTACTCTAATAGCCCAAATTATTTCTTCTCACCTAAAACTATCAAACTCTAAATGATAATACTAATAACATCACACATAAACACATCTTTCTTCCAAAGACCATTAAACCAACCCCAAGAAGAACTCTAACTACTGTTCCCCACATGACACCACCATCAGACAAAAAACAGCCAGAAAAGTCAACACCCAATCTCCCTAATGACAATTAGGGACTCCACTCCTGAGGGTAAAACTGAGAGAAAAAACTTAAACAGTGAGCATGAGTTCCTGGTAAAACTCCTTTAAACAGAGAAACAGCCTAAAAAAATCAGACTACACACACAGATAAGGAAACTTACACAAACCTCCAGCTTACTCACATAAAAAAAAGAACAAGGCCCAACATAAAAATGCCTTTGTCCTTTATGCCTAAGACATACCAACAACTGCACTAATGTGAGCACAAGAACCAACAGAGAAACACATCTGTCTTTTGTATAACCAACAGACTTCTAGGAAAGTCTCTTTTCCTTTTGTGGGCTTGTACATGGTGGGCTCCGGTGGGCTCTGGTGGGCACTTTCCTTTCCTTTTGTGGACATATGGACTGTGAGATGAGCCTTTATGAATCATCACTTCAGCATCTGACTGCTCCTGGGCCAAGGCCCTGGGCCAAGCTTTCACTTCAACTCCTGATTAGTCCTGGACCAAGGTGCTGGACCAAACTTTCACTTCAGTCTCTGACTTGTCCCAGACCAAGGTCCCAGGACAAGCTGAGTTACACTTTCTCCAAGACCAGTCGACAAATTCTTTTCTTTCCCAGTCCGTCAAAACCCTAGACCTGACCTCACAGTTAACAATCCATCCAGGGCCCCTCTCTACTCCAAAAAACTTCCTTCTTTCACTTATTAAACTTTCACTCCAACCTTACCCTTTGTGTCCACAATCCTTAATTTTCTCAGTCATAAGACAAAAAACTTCAGGTAACCCCTCAGAATGAAAGACTACTATATTTTTAATACATTGATGAGACTATGACAGAATCATAGTGGCTTCTTACATGGCAAAAAGTTTGGATGGTTGAAACTCTCTGGCAAATACTTCCAAGCTCCAATGACCTCACAGCAAAGCTGCCACTAAATACTCACTTTGGCTTTTGATTCCTCCTGGGCCCTTGGCCCTTCACGTTTCTAAGCAAGAGTGAAGTGGCTCTGACCAGAGCAAAAGATGAGAACAGCCTGAACTTGAATTTTAAAAATGTAACAAATTTTGGTGAGTACTTACCTAGGCCAGTTGTTAAGGAATTAAATAAAGTAATGCATGTAAAACACCTAAAATACATGGAAGGCATTTGATATATTAGGTAATATTGATACTTTTAATAGAAATAAAAATAATATACCCACAAAATTATCAATCTCAGAATCCCCACAATCAATAACTTGTCATGCCACCTAATGCAAAAAAGATCTCTGTGACCTTGAGAGGAGCAAGTTAGAGACAGTTAAATGGAAGCTCAGATGAGCCCTCCAAGCATCCGCTGTCTACCAAGTGCAGGGCTGTTGCCTGATGACTGCCCTGCAAGTACAGCTAACCTAAGAAACTTCAGCCTCCTGGGGTCCACTTACATGATCAGGAGCATAAGTGCCAAATCCCAGCACTGGCATGAAGTGTCCATCATTCAGCCTCACAGAATAGCTTTGCTTCAGATCTGTCATTATCCCCAGCTAATCTGTCTTTCCACCGTTTCCTCACTGACAGCCCAGCGGGAGACAAGGCTCCTGCGTTCTTTATTTGCACCAAATACAGGATGGGTGGGGTGGAGACGACAGTTGCCAATGATTTCGAAAGGAAGCTGGAATCAGTCCAGTGCCTTTTCTCTGATTCTTCTGTGTCCCTGTGGGAGTATTTTACAGAAAACTCATTCGGAAGTGCTGTGAATGCCAGAGGAATTTGATTTTCTCCTCCGTGCTGTTCACACGTGATTCCTTAGTTGAAAAATTAACCATGCCAATTCGTCCTTGATAAGTGCACTAGACTTCCTTTACAAGATGCAAATTATCATTAGGGTGGTCATTTCAAAGCACTAATTCTGCTACAGACTAAAGTTAACTTTCTCACTTATATTTGATTGTTAATCCCTTTAAAAACAGCTTATTAGAATTCCTTGAATAAAGCTTGATGCCTGGTACCAGCCATGCATGTAATGAAATTCCTTAAGAACACCCACCCCTATTCCCAGTGTATTTCCCTCCTGTGTCAAGCCCCACTCCATTTTCTCTGACTTGTTTCCTTGAATGTTTTGCAGAAAAAAACTTGTCTGAGATCATGGATAAATGTCTATGCTCTTGCCTTTATTCCAGCCATTGCCTCTTTCTAGAACAGCCTGCTTGACTCCCTCCTGGTCTCCAGCGGGTTTCTGATTTTTACTTATCCTAAAAGCACCTCCTGCAGTCTCATATCCTTTATGACTCCTTCTTTTTGTTGTTTTTTGTTTGTTTGTGTGTTTTGAACAAAGATAGGAGATAGCAAAGCAGACTGGGTCTTAACCGATCAGCTTGGAATTCCAGGGCCAAAATTGCTTTTGCAAACAGAAACACACACACAACAACCATGAGAAAAATGAAAATCAAAAATGGCATCCAATTCAGAATGCCTAGAGGTTCAGCATAATGGTCTGCTGCATAATTCACTTTGGACACTTTCATCCTCTGTAGGTGAGGGCAGCAGGTCTGGATCAAGGTTAATATCTTAAATAGTTCAAAATAACTGACTTTGGGCCGGGCGCAGTGGCTCACGCCTGTAATCCCAACACTTTGGGAGGCTGAGGTGGGCGGATCATGAGGTCAGGAGATCGAGACCATCCTGGCTAATGCGGTGAAACTCTGTCTCCACTAAAAATACAAAAAATTAGCTGGGCGTGGTGACAGGCACCTGTAGTCCCAGCTACTCAGGAGGCTGAGGCAGGAGAATGGCATGAACCTGGGAGGCGGAGCTTGTAGTGAGCCAAGATTGTGCCACTGCACTGCAGCCTGGGCGACAGAGCGAGACTCCTTCTCAAAAAAATAAAATAAAATAACTGACTTTGAAATAATCAGCAGGGTCACCGGTTATTGCTAAAAACACCTCTTCATCTTTTATTTTTTCAAATTTTAAGTAATAGATTTAATTATCACATTATGAAATATTATAAAAAGAAAAGATGACTTCTTCTATAATCTCCCTGGGTGAGATTGACCAACCTTCTCTGCGTGCCCTTTATTCTCTTCGCTTCTATGAAGCAGGTAAAAAAAAAATCACATCATTGAAATTACACTCTCCTCGAACAAGGAGCTTCTGCTACATAAGATGCCTAAGTGGTATTTTCTTTGGTGTTTTTATTATGCTGTGCTTTGTCCAACATGTATTTGTGCCATGGGTATTTTAGAGGCAATCCTGAAACATGGCAGTGTCATTTATCTTATTTTGAATCCATAGCTCTGACTGGGCAAGGTCCAAATTCTGCCTGATTCTGATTCCCTGTAGTTTATAATTATCACAACATTGTATCAGCTATAAATATGGTAAACATACTGTTTATATTACATTGGTAAAACTGTTGAACCCTAAAGAGATGGGGTTAAGTTCTCAGTAAAGTCACAAGAAAAGCGTGTCTTTATTACCAGTAATAGCCAGAAGCTCATCATTCACTAGATTAAAAATTTGTCTAACAAGTTTGCAATATTAACCCGTATTCTGCACTAAATGGTTGACCCAAGGAAGAGACATTATTTCTCTCTCACTTCCCTAATTTAGCAGTCTAGGAAATTTGTTACTGAAAGAGAGTAGGCCAATTTTATTCTCAGTAAATCCAAAGCAGGGCTTCATGCTCCCTGCCCCTCTTCTCATAAAACTTGCCTTAAGCATTATCCTAAAACATTTACAGATTAGATGTCATACTTTGTACCTAACACTTTTCAGAGTCCATCTTCCCTTTGTAACTGGAAAGGTATTTGTCCATGGTTTCCTGGCACTATTTTTACTTCCTCAGGTTTTCAAAAGCTACCGAGGATATGAGATGCTCTCAGGAAGCTCATGGTTTATTGGATAAGAAGTGGGCAGATGGCAAATCGTTCCCCTATGATCCCTGCCTCCTGGTATTTATGGCCCTGTGTAATGTGTGTAATGCCCTCTCATCAACTGTGGCTAGCACTTGTGTCTTTATTCTAAACAATTGACTATTGTAAAGAAGAGTGATATTATTTCCATCATTAGGAAATACAAAATTGTAATTTCCATCGTGCTAGGAAACTCTACTGTTTTCTCAGTTTTCAAACTTTGATAAAATTGGTGCAACATAGGAGAGGCTCACATGGAGAGGAGCTGAGTGGGGCCTCTGGTCACCAGTCAGCTCGAAACTGAGGCTTTCATTCAGACAGTCCAGAAGAAACCAAACCCTGCCAGCTCCCCCCTGATCTTAGAAGCAGGTTATTCCACTCTAAGACTTCAGGGAGATCCTGCTTTAGGCTTATGCCTTTACTGCAACCCATTGAGGATCTGAGCAGAGGTACTAGATCAACTCTGCATGGCTGCACACAAGTCACTACAACCTTAGCAGCTTAAAACCCACACAAGGTGACAGAGTGCAAATGGCAATTATAATACAGCATGGCACCCAAGGAAACAGAAGGACATGTGCCATTCTGGAAGGAGTGGAAGGAGTGCCAGAAAATATGTTGCAATGGCCTCCAAGGAACACATTCAAAAATTATATGAAAGTGTATTTCGTTCAAAAATAAATATTTAGTGAGTAGCTATAATGTGCAAGATACTGTTGTAGGCATTAAAAACAGACAGAAATCTAAGCCTGCACTGAACTCATTTTCAAGGAGACAGAAACAGACAAAAAGCTAATAATTATATAGAATGAAAACCATGTTGTATGATAGGAAGCACTGTGAAGGGGAAAAAGCAGGGAAAGGGGTAGAGTATGCAAAGAGTGCAGGAACAATTGAAATCACAAATAGCTCAAGCAGGTAGGTAATCCTCACTGAGACAAAGACATTTGAGAAAAGACCTGAAGGAGCAGAGGAAGCCAGCCTTGCTGACAGCTGAGGGGAGAAGGCTTCAGGCAGAGGGATCCTGAAGGGCATAGTCCCTGCAGCAAGAGAAGAGCACGTGTGATCTGGGAACAGCAGGATTAGGAAAGAGGTCAGAAAGGAAGGAAAGGCCATGTTTAGGCAGAACCCTGTAGGCCACTGCAAGGATTTTGCTTTCACTCTAGGACACATAAGGGGACACTGGATGAAACTGAGCTTCTGTGTAGAGAGTAGAATGTAGGTTGGTAAGGGATAAAAGGGGAAAACTAGGTAGGAGGCTATTTAATAACCAATGTACGAAATTGAGTAATTTGGAACAGGATGGTTGTAGAGCAGGTGATGAGGGGTGGTCAGATTCTGGGTAATTTTTAAGGTGAACATGGGAGGACTTGTTCACAGGTTTTATACTGGTTATGAGAGAATTTTAAAAGGCAAGACTCAGTCCCCAAATTTGGTTCTTTATGATGGAAAGAATGGAATTATTGAGACTGTGAAAATTTAAGGTGGAGCTGAATTGCATGGAGATTAAAGAATTTTTTTTCTGGGGCATCCTGAGCTTGAAATGTCCATTAAACCCTCAAGAGGAGGTGGTGAACAGACAATTTGTTATTCCAGTCTGAATTATTGGAAAAAGGTCTGAACTGGAGTTCAGATTACAGCCTGCTGAAGGTTCAGATGATTGTTAGCATTTTGTCACAACTTTTTTTTAAATTAAGGTATGTACATTGTTTCTTTAGATACTATTGCTCACCTAATGTATTACAGAATAGTGTAAACATAATTTTATATGCAGATGAAATAAAAAAAATTTATGTAATTCAGATTCTGTGCTATTTTTTATGTTGGTGGTCTGGAACCCAACATTTAATATCTATAATGTATGCCTGTGTGCTATGTCTTGATTATCTCTTGTCAGAATTTTTGACTAAATTGTATTTTGTCTGATCCTAGTATAGCTATCACAGTTCTTTGTTAGTTACTACTTTCATACAATACCTATTTCTGTCTTTCATGTTCACATTATTTATGTCCTCACCTAAAGTGAGTTTCTAGTTCAGAACATATAGTTGGGTCCTAGATTTTTCTAAATTCATTCTGCAAATCTTCCTTTTAATGTGAAAATTTAAGCCATTTACATGTAATGTACAGTTATGAGACACACAACAACGTTCTGATAAAGGATGAAACACAGAAACAATGGTGGCTTACCCCAGTTAAGTAGGTGCTATCCCTGGGATGCAAGGTTGACTCAACATACACAAATTAAAAATGTGATTCATCACATTAACATAACTAAAGACAAAAACCACATAATCATCTTCATAGATGCAGAAAAGGCTTTTGATAAAATTCAACACCACTTCATTTTAAAAACTCAATAAACCAGATATTGAAGGAATGTGCCTCAAAATAATAAGAACCATATGTGACAAGTCCAGAGTCAATATCATACTGAACGGGCAAAATATAAAAGCATGCCCTTTGAAAAGTGGCACAAGAAAAGGATGCCGTCTGTCACCACGCCTATTCAACACAGCATTGGAAATCCTGGTTGAGAAATCAGGCAAGACAAAGAAATAAAGGGCATTCAAACAAGAAGAGAGAAAGTAAAACTACCTGTGTTTGCAGATGACATGATT